CCTTCACCCATCTCCCATCACCAGCTCCACCACCGAAGACCTCACCTCCGCCGCTGTCCGCCGTCCCATTGATCGCGGTTATTTAATCAACGCCGACCTCCAGCGCGACATCTGGGGCCACCTCTTTTCCTCTCTCCTCCACGTTAACCCCTCCACATCATCTCTCTTACTCACCGAACCGCTCTTCACTCTCCCTTCTATTCAACGTGCCACCGATGAGCTCGTCTTTGAGGACTTCAACTTCAAGTCGTTTTTCGTGGCGGACTCGCCGTCTTTAGTGCATCTTTACGAGGCGAGTCGGAGACCGTACGGACTAGTGTCGAAGGCGCAATGTAGCTTGGTGGTTGATTGTGGATTCAGTTTCACGCATGCAGCGCCTGTGTTTCAGAACTTCACGATGAATTACGCGGCGAAAAGGATTGACTTGGGTGGGAAAGCGTTGACCAATTACTTGAAGGAGCTGGTTTCGTATCGCGCTGTCAACGTTATGGATGAAACTTTCATTATTGATGATGTCAAGGAGAAATTGTGTTTTGTCTCTCTTGATGTCGCTCGTGATCTTCAAATTGCCAGGTTGATATTCTATTTCTTCAAAGAGAAATGAGATTCTTTTCCATTTCAATAATAAAATAAAATAGAAGTTTTTATTCGTGGATGTTGTTTCATGTATGTTTAGTGAAATCGACGAGGATTAAAGTGGGGTGTTTGTTTATGGACTATGCTATATAAGAGTGATAGCATGTGTAAAGACTCCTAATAATTTTGTATTTTTGGATGGTGTTAATAAACTATATAGGATGCAAGGTGTGCGTGCTTTGTTTCATAGAAAACATCAGGTATGTTCATTTATAATTTATGTTCATATATGAACATTTTACAGGAAACGAGGAAGGGACAATCTCTTGAGGTGCACGTATGTTCTTCCTGATGGCATCACACACACGAAGGGCTATGTTAAAGACCCAGATGCGGCTCAGAGGTATCTCAGTTTTGGTGATGGATCTCCATCAGAGACAAAACAGATGGAAGATGCAGAAGAGCCTAGGGACAGAAAGAGAGTCGACCTGACCAAAAATGTATTAACCCTGGTTCTTTCTGAATTTAGTCATCTTTCCAACTTTACTAATTTACACATCCTTGTTATCTATACAGGAGTTTGACTTGACAAACGAACGATTCCTTGTCCCGGAGATGATCTTTCAACCTGCTGATTTGGGTATGTATCAATGTTAGTAATGTTGATGTTCCTACATTTATTGTAGTAATTTGGTAAAGTATGAGCCAGGGGAGGAATTTGCTTGAAAAATATGGAAATTGTACAAATTTCCCGAGGTGAAGTTGGAACAGAATAACATATTTGCCATTTTGCCTGGTGCTATTTATATTTTCTTGGAAAAGTGCTAATTTGGACTATTTTGCAGGAATGAACCAGGCTGGACTAGCTGAGTGCATTGTTCGAGCTGTTAATTCTTGCCACCCTTATCTGCATTCTGTACTTTATAAAAGGTGGCTTCTTGAACTCCTCAAGTGTTGAGCTTTAAAAATATTTAATTTATAAAATTTCCATTTTTTGATTTTATTTTTGTGGATTTTGGCAGCATAATATTGACCGGTGGAAGCACTTTATTTCCTCGTTTTGCTGAGAGACTGTAAGCGCAAATCTTTATGTGTTTATAATGAGAAATAATGTTGAGGCTCATCAGGAAATATATATGTTTTGCTTTGCAGGGAAATGGAGCTACGGCCTATTGTCCCTGATGACTATGAAGTGAAGATAACTACTCAGGAAGAGTAAGTGAAGACACTAGTAATTTTTCTTTGAAAAAAAAACTAGTGCTCCCAGTTGGTAAATAATTTTGTGCGTGTCCAGTCCCATATTAGGTGTATGGAGAGGAGGATCACTTTTGGCATGCAGTCCTGATTTTGAAGCAATGTGTGTCACCAAGGCTGACTATGAGGAGCATGGATCTGCTCGATGTCGCAGGAGATTCTTTCATTGAGTGCTCAGATTTCTTAAGGTATGTCATTTCAAGGACTCCCTCTGCTGTGGCTATTTGGTGAAGAAAACTGGAGGATATAGAAAATAATTTGAGATTTTGGGCTGTACAAGCTCCAAATTTATTACTAAAAAATTAATCATGTCTTAAATTTCTTTAGCTTTGTGGCAATCAAATGAGCTCATGAGGAATTATGCTGCAGGATGTCCCTTGTCTTACCACCTCTATTTCCCACTGATGAGCAAAGGAAAGGTGGAAACAGGTTTTAATGCCTTACGATTATATATAAAGGCAGATACCTCTAAACTCCTTGTTATCATCAGCATAGCATGGTGAAGCATTACCAACTGGAAATTTGGATGTTTTCCCTGGGTGGAAGGTTCGGTGACGAGGTTGTGCTTTATTCTCCTGGCTATGAAAGCGAGCTGACAAGGCCAAATTCCAAATGTAACTTATATTTGAAAAGGGCAAACCTGAGAAGCAGCTTTAAATCTCTCTTCAGAAGAGAGGGCTGCGACTTTTAGTTTGGGTTGCAGGGTACTCGTGCCTGATTTCGTCTTATATCACCGCATCCTCACTGCTCTGATGAAATTTCATATTTAAAGATATGCAATGTAAGTTGCGTTAGGTTTTTCAAATACTGGTAGTACTTGTGATTTATAAGAAATTTCATGTGTAAGTTGCGTTATGATTTGTCAACGTCCAAGTTTTTGCTTAACGGGAGTGGAATTGGAGATGGGGGCGATGATTTTAACATTATCAGTCTTTAGTAGAAGTAGGCGTTGAATGAATATCATTTTTTAAAATGAGAGAATTTTAAAACTACCCCTGACTTTTCATGAATATCAAATTGATGGCAACTTGCAATTTCATCAAATACTACCGCCAAACCCTATGAGTGCGTTTGGTTCAGGAAATGTTGGATTACTAAAAAATTATATTATCTTGAAGATTATTAGGAATCAGAAAAATGTGTTTAGTTAGTTGGAATAAATCGGTGAGTATGTTATATTAAAATATTTGGTTGGGCAGAATAAATTGGTCAGTATGTTATTTAAATTATTAAATTGTCCTCTTTTTAAATATTAAATAATATTATTTTTATTATTAATTTTTGAATAATTATTTTAACCTTCAACATTGCATATTTAGCTAAAACATCATAGGTTATATAAAACTTTAATTTATAACAAAATCACCCCCACCACCCCAAGCCATTGCCAACCATCGTCGATCACTGCCAGAAAGTCGTCGGGGTCACTAAAAATGGCTGAGAGTTGTTGAGAGGCTCCGGGAGGCTCCGATATGATCGTATTGATGGTCGAAAACGGTCATATCAAAGTAGATCTAGTCGTTAACGGTTAGATCCATGACCGTTATCGGCCAGATTTAGGTGAGATCTAATCATCAACGGCCATGGATCTGGCCGTTAACGACCATATCTCACCCAAATATTGCTAATAACGGCATTTGGCCGTCGATCTAGTCGAAAATGGCCAAAATAGATCTGGCCATTTCAGACCAGATCTACTTTGATATGGCTATTTTGGCCATCAATATGGCTAGAAACGGTCATATCGGAGCCTCCCAACGACTCTCAACCAATGTTTAATGACTCTGGCGACTTTCCGACGGCTACCAGTGGTGGTTGGCCAATTGTTGGTGGTGGTGGTTAGGTAGCGATGGTGGTTTGTAATTTGTTTTAAATATAAGAGCATTATTGTTCAAAAATTTAATTAAACAAAGTGTAAAATGTAATGATGGATTAATGTAAATTGATTTTAAATTTTAAAACAAAGACATTATTGTCTAAAATTTTTATTAATAAGGAATAAAATTATAATAAAAATAAGATAACCTAATAATTTTACAATACTTAACAAAATAAAGGTTATAAGCTTATCTTCAATAGTATCAAGAGTAATCATTATTGATATTAAAGAATCTTATATTACTTTGATAATTAAACATAGTAATAAAATAATATAAGATGACAAAACCTGATTAATCTTGCATGCCCTTCCACCAAATGCCCCCTATATTATACTTAAGAAATTCAGCTCCACCGCATCTTGCTTTATCCTCTTCTTCCCAATAAACTTTATTTTGATTTGCTTTATCAAATTGTTACTTCATAAATTTGAAGCAAATAGACAGAAAAAAAATGTCTTTATTTCAATATTTCAACTCCTTTGTAATAAAAATCTTGATCATCAGTTAGTAACAAAATACCAATTCTTAAAGCAAGAAACCCAACAGTATAACAAACATAAAATTGGTTAGTATTTGTTCCGAGACCACCCGTTTTCATTACCATCACCCTTCTGCTCAAAACAATCGCTTCGTAGTTCAAATCCAAGAAAAGAAAAGAAAAGAAAAACCTTGAACAAAAATGATCCATTAACAGGAGAAAAACATGTTGGCTGCACCTGCACCATCACCATTTATTGCTTCTACCAGCATCACCACCACTATCATTAGGATGTTGGCGCACAACCATCACCACAGTTCGAGAATTCACTGACCAGCCACAAAATCTAAGGATTTAGTCCATCAATAGGTGATTATTGTGGAGAGTAGGAGAAAGAAAAATAATAAAAAGAAAAAGAAAGAATGGATAAAGAAAAAGAAAGAATGGATTTGAATCTCTGTAGGAGTTCTTAATTTTGGAAGAGTAGATTTAGAAATGGTTTGATTTTGTGAATTTGAATCTCTTCAATCTATCTCTCTGTACATTTCTGTGAAAATTACAAGATTACCCTTACCATACAAACAGAGTTGGACAGCGTCTGTCATCAAGGATAGTTTCTTAATTAAATTTGACAAAGCTACCGTTTGAATGAGTAATACCAAAAGTTTAAGGGTAATTTTTGAAATTATCCCTTTTTAAATATAAGTTAAATGTTGGAAGTGAAATGGTGAATGCACAAAATGTTAAGCGGGTGTGTGAAACCAGAACAAGGAAAGAGAAACAATGAACACAGGAAAGATTGTATCAGCAAATATGCCACAATGGGTGGCTAAATATAAAGTACATGGTTTGCTGATTTTTTCTATTTTATCTCATGTCTCAAAACAATTAATTTTCGGAAAGCAAAATCCGTTTTTCTATATGTAAATATACAGAATAATCACCAGCCAATCATCAAGAAGCATATGCCTTTTGAAGATCCTGTGGCCGCCAAAAAATTTTGTACAGGAGCTACAACAATATCACTCATCTTTCAATAATGTTCTCTACAACAGACTTTGTTATAAGCCATTCCGCCATTTTTGTTTTCTACAATCCAGCAAAGTCGAATCTGGGCAAAAAATGCTCAGCCTCTTTCTCAAGTAGACTAACTTCATCATGTAGAAACATCCCACGATTGCCAGAGAATTTGGCATAGGAGTTGCATAACCTGTTACCTCAATAAATGCCTCACCTTTCCGTCTCACTGAGAAACCAAGTATCACCAAAACTTCTTACTATGACGCAATGCGACCCAGGCCATTCATCAGTCATAATATGGTTGAGAGTCCATGCACAGGTGCACCAATGTTCTTTGGTATTGTCCAAAGTATTCACCAACTGCAATAACATCCTGATTCTCTGGGTTCAACCCTGGTAAATTGACCGACATATTGCTGCTTGATGACCCAGATTCATCATCTGAATTTTCTAAATTGGTGGTAATTTCTGTATAAATTTCACGACAAGCAAGTACAAACATAGCAGCTGTGTAAGGTTGTTGTGTCTCACGAAGTGCTGCCAATGCCTCCTGCAATGCACCAGCTGCGACATACAAAATAAGAGCCCTGAATTGGGCCACTACAACTTCAGAACATTACAGAAATAAATATTAGAATAGGAAGATATGGAAATAAAAATGGTGGTACCTCCAGATATTGTGTTCAACATGAAGGACATGATCGGCCCACCTCTGCAAAACCCTGCAAGAAACAAAAGATGAAATCATGGTAATCTAATTTCTAAGCATCTCTTCAATTAAGTAATAACAGATTATGAAGTGCAATGAGTAGAATTTTGAATCCTCTATACGATACACTTGTAAAATACCACCACCAGAAAAGTAAGCTAAAAGAAAATATTTTTTTACCTACCACAAATTATTCTAGGGCACAACATCTGTATGAGGCTAAACAGAGAAGTAAGGCGTTACCGAGTACTTTAAGTTTTCATTTTAAACCAAATATACTACTAATTTACTATGGCAAAGAATAAAGGGAAACAATTTCAGGAACTTGTTCGTCTAATCTAGAAGATATAAGCAACTAATCCATGGTCGGAAAGCCATTTTTGCTTTTGGTGTTGAAGAATTGTCTCTCCATTTAACTGCCTGACTAAGGAACAGCATGTTGATCTGATGCAAACACTATGGATGAGCTTGCGGCACAGAATGGATTCACATAATTAAGTTTTCACATATAGAAACAACATTGAAAGAAGCTTGGTCGATACAAATATAATTCAAACACAAAAAACCTCAAATTTGTTTCATGATAAAGGAATAATAAACCTTGCATAGTCAGATCCCTTCAAATGTGTGGCAGCTAATGTTGCAGCATCAGTCCAGCATCCCGCATCTTGCAACTGCATAAGAGTTCAGATAATAATTAATCCAGCAAATATTGAGCAATCTACATTGACCACCTTTATATCAAAAGCTAAGCCAACTGATCACTTTTTCATCAAAATTTAAGCCAACTGACCACTTTTTCATGCCTAATATGTTGTTCAGCAGGGTATCATTCTCTTTTTACCAGCAACCAAAAGGTGATGGTTTTCAGACTACGGGTATTTACATGCTTAGTCACACAAGCCTTCCATGAATCAAAAGGTGATGGTTTCCAGACTACGGGTATTTACATGCTTAGTCACACAAGCCTTCCATGAATCTGTGGATATGATTCTACCCTTTACCCATATCTTTCCAATTTGTTCTACTAGCTTTAGCATAAGCATTCATATCTTTTTAAATATCACAAATGACACTACCATGATTCCATCATAGACCCAGACCAATTTCAATTATACCTATATCATGGCTTACTTTCATCTACTCTAAAAGTTTCCACTTCCTTTCCTGCATCTTAAAAACTTGGTGCCACCAAATGAGCTAGAAAGTACCAAGAGTTCATTAATTTCTTTACAGCAGGTGAATTCTATTTTTCTTATAATGCTGCATAAAAGCTACATTAACTTCTTTGCACGTTTTTCTAAACTGAAAATGACTTGCATTACTTCAACTTTTTAAAACCAAATTTACCTGAAATTACAATAGAAACAAAGTACTAAGAAAAAATAGAAGGGATGTCAATGATTCTTTTGAAGTTTATTCTGGAAATAACAGGATCAAGAGAAATGTATGAGAACTCTAAGAAGCACACATACGCCTAGAGGCTAATCATACCCATGCTCAACTTCCTACTGACATAACCACACAAGCTAAGTTGGTGACTGGGGGAGTCATGAAGAATTTTTACCACAGTTAAAGCACATCCATAATTCTCTCATTCCCCATATTAACTCCTTGAATTCTTATTATCCCAATTCAGCAATTTGAACTGTGATAAAGTGGAAAAGAAGGGTGCTCATTTGAGATTGAATATGCTAGTATTTTTTCTATTAAGTTCTTGTTTGTAAAGTTGTGTTTATAATGTATAGATACTATACAGAGTAGGGATCAAGCTGGCGTTTGTAATGGAAACACCAACGAAGGTATCATTATTTCTTATGAAAAATGTTTTAATTGATGATAATGTGAGGAAATAGGAATTTAAGGATTGAATGGTAGAAAGCACTAGAAGGGAAGGAGCAAATGGATGAAAGAGAATAAGGGCCTCTAAATTGTACGACTTAAATGTACAAAGACCACAAATTGATAAATCCGCATGGAAATTTTACATAGAATATAGATCAAAGACACTAACCTGAGAACAGGCTTCTTGATATCTTCCAACAGCACAAAGAAGATGAGTGCCAGACAGTGACCTGTCATTCCTCACCATGTTGGCTGCAACGACCTAGAAGATCATGTAGTTGTAAAGAAGAAGCCAAAAGTCACATGACTGTAAACCATTATATCCAATAAAAATTTGAGCTTCAAATTAGAAATAATTGATTTCCAGAGTAACACTCACCTTAACTGCAAGTTCAAGAAGAGACTTTGACACAGCAGAAGAAAGAGCAACAGCACGAAGAGCATTTGCATAGAAGTAAGAGCTCTCTGGAGAAGTGGAAAGCAATAAGCTAACTGCAGCTTCTAAGTTTCCAACTGAGACAAGCCTGCCATAAAGAAAATTAAGTCTAATCATCAGAACCTAAAACACACTATAAGTGCAGAAGCCCAGCAGTTGGTATAGTGGCACCATGATTGACTTCGGTCCCTTTACATGGATAACAAGATTGGTAAGTTTGAATATATTATTAGTAGAACAAAGGACTTGCATGCCAGGGAATTTAACAAAAGCAAAGCCTTCAAAAAATAAAATAAAAACTGTTACAGTGTAAACTGGTTTCTTCATCCCTAATTTTAAGCAGTCTATATTTGGAAGATAGTCAAACCAGCAAGGATTGAATGATGGAAGCTGATAGGAACCTACTCCCAAATTAATAAGAATTGGTTGGACAATGGGCCTTTGATAGGAATTGGACCGGGTAGTGGGTCTTTTTGTGAGCTCGGATAGAACTCTCCTTGAAAAACCGACTTGCCAAGGGAGGGTGTCCAAGCCCTTATAACCCACATGCCCATCCTTTTCCTTTCTAATGTGGGATTCTAACATTCCACCACACTTCCGCAACCGATGTCCACGTCGGCCTCTTTGCCCCCGTTGGCTTCTTTACCTCTTGGGTGACTACGTGGATCCCCTTTCCCTTGGGCCTCCATGCCCTTTCTCAAGGTAGTAGCCCGGGCCCAAGATCAGTCTGCCACATATCAACTTGCCACGGAGGCAACATCCCGTGGGCGTAGGATCATATTTTGATACCATTTAATAGGAACCCACTCCCAAATTAATAAGAATTGAGCTAGGCAATGGGTCTTTTTGTGATCTCGGATAGAACTCTCCTTAGAAAACCAGCTAGCTAAAGGAAGGTGCCCAAGCCCTTATAACCCACATACCCACCCTTTTCTTTTCCAATGTGGGATCCTAACATGGAAGCTCATGTAAGTTCCATGCTTGAAGTTGATTAAAAAATTGGTATGGTGACAGATGCTCCTCTTGAGATTCAATTCTGACAGATTTCTCTTTATTCAGTATTGCCCATATCTCTCTTCTTTTACTTCTTCCTTTGGTGTTCGTGTGCGAGTGGTGGTGATGGTCGTGGGGGTGGTTGTGTTTGGTAGCCACTTTACGTATCTTTACACACGCACACACACATACAGAGTTTATATATTCAGAAAATAAACTTCACTGCATAGGGTTATCCCTTGATGCCTTCTCTATCGTGAATTTTGGTATACGATTAATCTCAAATCTTCACAATCATTTTCTGCTGTCACAGCATTACTAGTAACATGCAACAAAAGACATTTAAAGAGTAACTAAAAGTTTTGAATTTTCAAACATATAGCTGAAGATTAGAGGAGGTCATTCTAGGTATATCCATCAATCAATAGAAAATTTATCTCCAGTTTAATATCTGATTCATGAAACTTGGCTAAAGCTTAAATCTGTTATCTTACGAACTTATTAGCAACTCATAAACAACTCCATACATTATACCAATGGAATAACACAAACTCAGCAAGAACAGACGTAAGAAGACTTATAAGCGGAACTCACTCGTGAACACGGTTCTGAATAGCCTGTTCTCCCTCCAATTTCTCATGCCAAGGAATACGCTCACTAGCAGTTTCCCACAACTCTTCTTGTCCGAAAGCCATTAATCTAAGTTGACCCTGACTCTGACAACCAAAAAGTCCAATTTACAAAAGAGAAGATGACAGAAATGCAAGAAAAAATTACCTAGATCAATGTCTGAAACTTGGACAAGAAGAAACAATAACCATCAGCAGAAACTTAACAGAAAAATTCACCAAGAATCATCAAGGGTTGACATATTGACCGACTTACCAAAGAATCCCTCTTTCTGGTTCCTGGAATTGATTTTCCCTTTGATGTAATCCTACTTAGCATAGCTGTGTCATCAAGCCCTGAACTAGAAGCTGAGAGAGGGGCTTTTTGTGGAGACTTCTTTAATAACTTATTCATCAAATGATTAAGAGCATGAGGCAACTGTAACCAAAAAAGTGCTTCTGGGGTTTCACCAAAGATTGCAGCTGCAAAGGCAAACCTTGCAGCACAGCCTTTATCCACTACAGTAGCATACAATCTTGCCCTCTCATCGTCAAGCATGCAGCCTTGGGCAAGAAAATATTAGAAGAAAACAAACCAATTTAAATGAATGAATATGAAACCCTTCAATATTAGAAACAGATCATGGGAGTAGAAACCTACCCTCTTTCCTGTAAGGCTCTAATACTTTGAGGAGCATCTCTGGCACAACTGAGTCACCAATAGAAGGTAAACCAATCATGTGACTGCGAAGATCCTTCGTGGATGAAGGAGTTCCAGGAATTAAGTGGGGTCTCTTCTTTATGGTTGTGCTGCAAGTATTAAACCAAGAAGGCTTCACACCCAATTGTAAGATCATCCTCAATGCCTGCACCCAAGAAAGAACAGTAAAATTAGTCAGTCAACAGAAAACTAAATTCATAAAGATTTTCCAAAAGCTCATGTCATTTCTTGAATCAAAACAATGCTGACATTAGATGTTAATATAACTAAGTTTTTCAAAAGCACTTCTACATGACAGCTATCTCCATCAGATTATGAACAAATAAGATGCAGCTCCACACTTAGAATTACAAGGCCCAAAAATTTTCTTGCTGGCCTTGTTCCTTTTTCAAATTTGAAGGATCCATCCTTAATTTTCTTTAAAATGTCTTATTTCACTCCAGCAAAAATGGCATATATCTCCATCATTACCCTTCAAAAAGCAACTATTTCCATTGATGTTTTCCAGTAAAAAATTGATGTATCAAATATAAAAGGTGAGAACTGATATTAGAGATCCAATTTGCACAGGAATGGATAAATATTATTATTATATTATGACAATTGGAAAGGAATATACAAAGGTAGGGTAATTGTTACCAGTGCATGTGGAGTAGGAAATAATATAGGTAAGCATAAAGGCATAGGACGGAATCTCTCTCTAATAGTTCGAGTCTGGGGCGTGTGGCCAATTTTTTTCTCATTTCTGCATTGAAAGAGCAAGATTATCATCTAAAAGTCCTCATTCTTATAAAAAGCCGAAAAGTGTTAAAAGGAGTTAAGAAAGTCAAATCAAATGGTGGGTGCTTACATTTTAACCTCAATAAGGCGGAAGCTGCTGTCAGCTCCAGCTACACACAATACCAATGGGTCATTTTTATCAGTTCGCAAAGGCAGCCAATCGAGTTCCAATACAAGAGTTCCAGGAAATTGAGGTTGTAAAAGGGAATTTGCTAATGGGTCTTGTGAATCCTGCAAATGAAATAGTGGACAAAAATAGGATCAAATGAAGAAAAATCTTGGGAGAAGCGAGATAGAACAAAAAGCACTCTCAATGAATATTATTCAGTAGTATATGTAGTATGAAAGGTTCCATTATCAATACACATTTCCAGTATTGTATGTAGGAAGTGAATGCTCTCTATACATTTTACTAATGCTTATAATACCAAAAGCTCGATATAGATAACAAGAGTTGCTAGCTGATTTTGCCTATCTTGTGAGTAAAATGGGCTAAAGATCTCCATGAATACACATAAAGAAGGGTCAGTCTCAAGCTTACAAGGTCAAATACAGAAAATGTATTGTCATAAAATAGTACTGCAATGCGCCCTCGACTACGGTCTCCTGAAACGACAGGTGAGAATTTTATTCTTCGGATTCCATCTCTGTGAGTATTAAATGAGGAAGAATGTCCAGTTGTAACATCCCACCACCGGATGTTTCCTGACCTATCCCCCATAACCTGAGAAAATATGAAGCCACAGTTCATCAATATAGAAATCTTGAAAAAACCATGGTTCTGATTCAGACTACCAAACAGATCACATAAATGGGAAACATATGATACATACAACGTGGGGCAAGCGATAGGCCATGGCTGTAATCAATCCATCAGACGAAACAAATGAAGAAGATGGCCATTTTGGTCTATTGACAAGTAAAACACAGACATGGTTAGATAAAATAACATGTAGTATGAAAAAAGAGACAATTCAAAGCAATCACATGATAAGGAGCTATATAAATTCAGAATTAGAGAACCCATGTGTGAGTAAGTGGGAACTAGGGATGACGTAACTTTTCCACATTAAATTTTATATTTGAGAGGCCAAACATGCAATCCAATAACGACCAGCATAACGCATATAGGTATTAACATCTCAAATAACCAGCTTGTGCATGTGTAAAAATGTGAAGCAATTATACGTATCAATCACAGGATGATCTATTATGAAAATAGAACAAAAATAAATGGTGAAGCAAAGGTAATAGAAAAAATAGGTTTTGGTAAAGCTTTTCAAATTGGTTCTTCTTTCTCCTCTTTATCATGAGGTTCAACTCTCATTGATGAATCAATATTCAGTTTATTAACAATTAACAGCTGGATTTATCATTATTTTTTTGCATGTCCTTGGAAATTTATAGTTAGCACAAGTTCTCCCATTTTATGTCCTACATACAATCTGTATAAATAGGCATGTGTAATCTTCTGCTGTGGCTAGCAATAGTATGGCCAACTATTGTGGGTTATGGATAGAAATATGAAAATTTTAAGATAATGCTAGACGCAAAAAGCTAAAATGCAACCTATAACATAATTGAATAGTTAATATCCTATTATCAAAATGCTATTTCCATATGGCAACATTTCTCATGGAAGAATAACAATACCTAAAATCTCGAATCCTCCGCCCATGAACCTCAAAAACTCCAAGTGCGCCGTTTGATAGCGCAAATGCAAAACTTTCAGAAGCATCATCTTGGGATCCATCAGATCCCACTGCCTCTGCAGATAAAAGTTTAAATTATCAAAGAAAATGAGAACCCATATCTTATACCAGCCACTGGCAAATATAACATATTTGCATAACAAGTTAAGAAGCTCACTGGAATCTGATGAAGATGCCTTTGATGATGAAGACACTCCATCTGTAGTCATGGCTGTATGATCCTTGGAGGACATTGATGATTGCCTAAAAGGACTATTTTGACTTGGCCGAGGAACTGTTGGAAGAGTCCATTCCAATACCGTGAAGGGAAGAGCTAATGATCTAAGCTACATGGAGAATAAAGCATAATAATTATCTATGATAAACTAAATAATTAACTAAAACAAATATTGGTGTGTGAATGCCACAATGATTGATTTAGTTAGAAAAATTGTACATTAAAATTGAAGATAAAGAAACAAATGTAAAACCTATCAATCACAAATACATACAATTTTGCATAAAAAGTAAATGATATATAAATATGCAGATATATACTTGTGGCAAGAAAACTTCCACAATCATAATTAGTAGGGGAAAAGAAACACAGAAAGGATATTTTTAAGTGAGCAGGAAGTCTCTAGGATTGAGGGAAAACAATTATCAGATATTCCAAAAAATAAAAATTACATCAGACAAACAGGACAGCATTCTAAACATGTAATAATGTGGAATCATAGAGAAGACAGATAGAAAACCTATGACACATGGACATCATGACCATCTTTTGGAAATTTTGAGTTTTGTAGTCTTACAGTAGATGAGTTAACATATTTTCTTCTAGAACTTCTTGTATGGATTCATGGCTTTCAAAAGTAGACCACTATCAATTTACACAACTATTTTCGCACCATGTTATGACTTTATTTACATGTACGGGCTTTATGGAACATAATAGGGCTATAGAATCCAAGTAATACCTACCCATCTAATTTCTCCATTTACGTTTATAACCCTCCATGCAAACACCCAAAAAGAAATTTTTTTCCTTCATCTGATGAAGTAACACCTACATGCACATTAGTAAAGCCAATCTTTCATTTGTTCTATTTTTGAACAAAATACAAGTAATTACTTTCTTCCATCCCATTAAAAGAGGGCCACAATATATGCATGTAACTTAGTCCTTTCACATGTTTGGACATTAGAGTGCACAAATGGAACATCGACATGCTAAATATTCCAAGGGGTGATGAAATGCCTTGTCTGTTTCAATAGAGCACACCAACTTTTGGGTCTATTATACTAATTAAAGGTATTTTTAAAATGTATACATGTAACAATGATACAACTAGTTGTATTTTGGTCAAAAAGGTACGCAAACATCAAAGGTGTACCCTTGAAATCCTACAGTTTGTTTCACATTCTATTATACCAATTAAAGGTAAAAACATATACATGTAACAATGAAACAAATAACTGTATTTCGGTCAAAAAGGTAAGCAAACATCAAAGGTGTACTCTTGAAATTCTACAGCTTGTTTCACATTCAAACATGAATATGCTAAAACAAATTGACTATGTAGATAAGTTTCAGTAAATAAGAACAGTTCCTATTTTTATAAGCTTATTGACAAACACTATGGACAATATCTTTAAATTAGTCGAGATATTTTAATTGGAAATAGCAAAAAAGGCATGGACAAACTTACCATAATGGGATTTTTTGTCATTGCCCAAACCTCTACAGGGGCATCACGAAACAGAATTAGAAGATACCTGGAATTATTTAAACCAGAAGAAGCAGAATCACTACAAGATGCTCACGTAGTCATGAAGAATCAAAAGAGAGCATAAAGTTTGACAGAGAAGGGGTAAAAAGAAGATAAGTAAAGAGAGTGTTATCCTCAAAACATGCCAGTATTTCAACTCAGCCACACTGGAACTAAGCAAGTTATAGAAAAACGTTAAAAGTCTACCTCTAGAAACCTTTAATGAAGTCATAACAAATTCATATTTAATCAGTAACTAATTAAAGCCAAGTTAAATAAACATACTTTTTTAACATTTCCCAAACATAATATCATGTTTTCTTCAGATTTTTTTCCAAGATTCTCGTCAGACGCATAACTCCACTACCCATACTTTGTCATACTCTTTTGATATCAGCTATACTGCAAAAAAGAGTTCCACATTCTTCCCCCACATGTCCTTCCATTAGTAAGTGTTTAGCAGATACAAATGCACTCACCACTATGCTTTACCACCAAAACCAATACCCAAGGGTACACTCTTCCTAAAAGCTTCTCAATTTACACTCAACTTAAGTAATCTCCAAACATATCAACATTTTTTCACGAAGACCATATTTTTTGCTATTATATTTCAAAAATCACTACATTTAGATTCCAGCTACCCCTAGTTTTAATTACAGTTCGCCTACTCAAATACTAATTCAAAAAGAACCACAGTTTCTTGTAATCAAAATAAGTACCGCTAGATGTCTTGTTCTCAATAAATTAATAAAACCTCTTATGCCACCATCTGATCCACTAAAACTTCTTCACCTACCAATATCAATAATCCACCCACCCTCCCAGGCTGAAGTAAACAAATAAAAAGATGGCATTATGAAACAAATCATATCCAATGTAAGTTTCACACCCTTTCTAACTTAAGAACCAGTTTCTTTTCTTTGATTGGGCATTGTCAAATTTTCATATCTTACAAGAATTGTCCACCAAATCATTAACCTCCTCTCTACTACAAAATGCCTTTCAAAAGCTTCAATAATTTATATGTGATACACAAGTTCCCAACTTTTCTTTCTTCCATCAAACATGAGGATATTACCAGCACAAGAAATTAAAGTTGGCCTCATCATTTGTTTCTCACACATGACACAACCATTTATAGCAATGTAACTGGCAATGAGTACAATAATCACATAAAAGTATAAGTTCATGAGAAAGGTTAGATTCATATTCTAGCATTCCAATATAAACATTTACTTTTATGTCCAAGAAGATAATCTCAAGCTCATTATACATTGATTCTATTTCCAAAGGGAAACACAGATAAATAGAAAATGATGATACAGAAGGAGCACAAGTGCTTTTAAGTAAAAGTATGATGAATGCAAGATAGGAAACTGGATTTGAAGACAACCTTCCAGAAGAAGAAGCCCTTAAGGCTCTTATAGGTGCACGTTCAGGCTTTTGTAGAACTCGAAATGTTCTATTAAGCCCACTTCTAAGACATGTGATGACAAGCCTATTAATGTAACCTCCGGTTTTCTCATTCACCTGATTCCACAAAGTACTGGTTATATGATAATGAACATGGTATTGTTTAAAAAGAAATAAACAGAAAAGGCATCATCTAATTACAGGGTTTCTAAATTAGAAGAACAAGAAGACTACTAGAGGGAGCAGGTTGGCAGAAAGAAAATACTTGAAACTAAATAACCAATAAAATTTCAAATGTCATATACCTGAGTGTAAGAAAATGAAACCAGTCTAGAATTTCCAAGCCATCTTAGTCCCCTGACAGTACCATTATGAACAAAAAAATTTGCAGCAACAGCATTGGCAGAAACGTCAACAACATCAATTGTTCCACTTTGGGTTCCCAAAGCAACAAGTGGAACAGCTACAGCAGGATAGTTTCCTCCACCTTTACATATAATATCTCGTTAATCAACAAATAGGTATTCTAATTCATATCCATATTGATGATAACTCCTAAGCATTTAAAAAGATGGAAACTCAACAGATATAGTAAATCAGTGGCAAGATGAAACTAACGGGCCAGAGTAGCTGTTAAAGAAGGAGAAGGTACAGCCAGCATGGTCAATGTTGAAGAAAGAAGTTGAAGCTGTCCAACCAAGCTGACCTGCATAAGTGGTTTGACCAGTCATTAATCATGGAATACGCAACCAACATCATGAGCGTGTAAAGAGAACTATGTGATTCAATGAACCCTTGACAAAGATGAAAAGAATATGAAAGAACCCATCAAACTATGCTACAGAAAGAATGTTTTATTAATTATCAATTACGAAGTACAACCTTCACAGTCAGAGTTTACTGTTCAAATTCCCATATCTGTACCTAGATCAGCAAAGCTCCATATAGGCAATGTTTTTACTGAATTTATGCAATTTTGTCACAATATACCTGCCTGACCTGTGTCTCCAAAGGCCTGGACGAGTCTCAGTCTAAGGAGTAATCTAACAGGAATTTGTGCAGGTAACAGGACAACTACCAACCAGAACATAATAACCATATATGAGTTACTAAATTTTATTAATTCCAAGGATGAATTTTTCATGCGAACAACAATGTTGCATCACTAACAAGTTTTAACATGAATGTTAAAAGGTAAAAAGGCAATGGCAAGTAAAAAGTAAGGAAATGTAACGAAAAAAATTTCACGCTGCATATTGTGTGCCAGGGTCTTATTGAGCAAAAAATTAATTGAATTCCCTACTTGTAACCAAAGAAGAGACTAGAAAATTATAATATTTAGAGGTTTCCTTTGTTCAAGTCAAGTTATTGCAGTCTTCAGCAATCAAGTAAGAGTTTGTAACTACTACACCATAGAGAAAATATTTTTTCACATACCTTAAATGACATATCTGCCCGACTGGAGGTAGAATTTGATGGACAGTGTCTGCTGCCACTCACATGTTCTAGTTGCTTAACTGCTTCTGGGGCACGCACATCATTAGTAAAGTTACCCAAAACTGGAACTTCAGTGACATCAGCATGGATGCCAGGGTTTATAACATCCTGCTGAAAATCCCCAACCCCTTCAGCACTCAAGAGCCAGCTCCATACTTTTCCATCTTCAGAAATGGAGATTAAACGTGTCTTTGTAAGAAGAAGCGGATCATCAGAAAAATCGAAAGGATTGTCAAAATCTACATTGGCTGAAGGAGAACGAAATGCATGTGCATAAGACTTGCCAATATTCTGGAGGGTAGACTCTGATTGACAGACGAGGACAGCAAGAATTGAAGGTGAAGGAACAGATGTACCAATTGAAGGCATAAACTCTTCCATTGTACACATTACATGCACCTGTTCTCCTCTGTGATAATATCCAAATAAGTACAGTCCCTTAAGGCCAGAAAAACATTCATTGTATAATCGTCACTTAGACTCACATTTAAATGAGGAAGATAAGAAAAAGTCATTTATTCTTGAAATGTAAAATTACTTCAACCATATTATAATTTCAAAACAAAGGCAAAGCCCCCAAGCGTGAAAGAAATAAGAATATAGATTTGCAAAGATATAGTGTTTAATTATGTCGTCCAATACAACATTCTTTTACAGACTTTTCAGGGAGTTCAAATACTAGGCCATAATAATTCAAAAGTAATTCCAGTTGAGTGGTAACCGAAATCCAAAGTAATTAAAAGCTCCACTTAAAATAAGATAACCAGTTCTTATCACGGCCATTAGTTGAAAAGCCATACCCATTGTTAAAAAAGTTATGCAAACATCAACATCTGAGCTCCCTAAAACCCCCATAACAGTTACAAGCAAAACCACAATTTCTAATATTGCTTTTATCAAAATCATGAACGTCCATATTTTTTCTTCTAGAGATCAGACAAAACAAATTCCAACTCATAATAACCATGAAGGAACTTAGATGTCCTAAGAGCATGACCAAGATACCACCAACCCATATTACTAAAAACCACTTGTTCTTTCTAGAAGTCTTGAATATGTTTCATTCCCAGAAAGATTTAGAGTAACATAATCTAGCTCTACAATACCCTCTTCAAGCAAATTATAAGCACTATCTCTAGAACAAAAAGAGAGATCACATTTGTTCATTAAAGTTGACGCTGACAATTTGTACAGTAGTAAATGATAATACTTCAATTCCGATCAAAAGTGCTCTAGTGTCTTTCTTACTATACATTAAATTGTAGGCACTTTTGGATGTAACTTCTGAAAAATAAAAACATATCATTGCAAATATTTTAATGAAAGAATAGAAGAACTGGACTGAAATGTGATCGTACTCTTTCCGGCGCCATATGCTGAGCTTCCCATCAAGATGAGCGCAATAGAGTAAGTCATTATCGGGATCAGGAGACACGTCTAGAAACTTGGCGCAGCCTCGCGGCAATGCTGCAGCAGAAAGTGTGGTCTCATACTGCAAATCAAACACAACTAACTCCCTCGGAAATGTCACAAATAAAATGTGCCTCCACTGTGGCGAAAAAGCAAATTTCACCATATAAAGCGGGAATAACCCAGCAGCAGGCGACGTGGAAGAGAAGCCGCCGCCACTCACATCCCTCTCCAGCTTCAGCAATTCCGTACAATCCGTTGGAATCTTCAATTCTTTGATTACAACTTCATCCTCTCTCTGTCCTAAAACTTTTACCGACAATAGGAAACCTTTGTAACCAATGACGCAAAAATGGCGGGAATCAAAAGGATCGCGGCGGATGCAGGAGAGGTATTCAGGCGAGGCGTCGTATTTCCATATACACGCGGCGGGAGTTGTCGTGCTGTAGAGAGAGAGAATGGAAGTTCCGTTAATCGCAGCGAGGAGGTAGGAGTCGGGTTTGGATACGATCCAGCAGAGGTCCTGGATCCCAAGCCTGGGATTAGGGTCAGGGTCGAGCCAGAGGATGACAGAGCGGAGGCGGAAGTCTAGTAGAGCGATGCGGCCGTGGCGGTCGCCGGCGGCGAGGAGAAGATGCGAGGTGGAGGGTTCAGCGGAGAGTAAGTCACAACGGAGGGTGAGAGTAGTCCAGCGAACGGAAGTGACGAAAGGAGAGAGAGATGAGGTGGAATTGGTGGCGGTGGGTGGAGGAATAGGAATTGTGGAGATGAGCTGGAGAGAGCGAGAGTCGAGAATGGAGACAGAGGAACCGGATGCAAAGGCTAACAAACCGGAGGAGCTTAAATCTGCGGATCCGAAGTTGTTGCGACTGGGTGGACCTGGGAGCATGTAATTGCAATTCCAGGAATCGGGCGGTGGTGGTCTTGTAGAGATGGACATTGTCGTTTGCTCTTAAATTGTAGATGATGTAATGATGTGGTTTTAGTGAACGAATTTAGTTGTGTAGAGAAGTAGACATGGTGAGATTTGATGGGGTTGATGGGAGTAACACAGTATTGTTGACTCCGTCCGATCACTGCGAGTGAGTTTGAACTTTGAATGAAGACTGGAGGAGGGATTGGTAATGGTCTCTAAACAAATACAAAATTTTATTTTTTATAAAAATAAAATTCAGATATTAATTATTATTTATTAAATTCATTTCACTCGCATCGCATTAGCATGCGTATGAATAATCATACGAACGTCAACCTGCTTTGTCATAATTGTTGTTATATTAATTTCCCTTTTATTACAAAATAGGATTTGATATTTGATATTTCGATTACAAAATATCTATAATTATTTTAGAATTAATGAGAAAAATAACCCAATTGGAGGATTTTTGAAATTAAACAAAATCTAAATATATTGATTATTGTTTTCATGCTCAATTCACTCAACCACATTGATATTGAACATGTCAATATTTTGATCGTAACTGTGTGATATGCCTAAAAAATGAGAGTTTACATAAGTTGTTGTCAGCAACACCAATCAGAGTTTAGGAAGACTTGCGTCGTTCAAAGTTTGTCATGTCATCCAAGACAAAAAAAATATAACCGTCAACAACTCAACCGACTCAAGTTTTGTCTGTGAATGAATTTAGTTCGCACACATGTCTAAACCTCATTTAATTTAAAGATATTTCTTAAGTTTTCAACTAATGGGAAAACATGGGAGATTTGCACAGCACCAACCCACCTTTATAAATGTAATCATTACCTTGAGTTCAGCGGGTATAAATAGACAGCTCCCCTCACAAAATTGGGATCAGAAGTTCTGAATTCAACAAAGAAAATAGCAAAGACACACCACAGTAAAGAGACTAGCTTGATATTCTCTAAAAACACTTAAAACACCAAGCACCTGTAACCCAGATCGCAATTCATGACCTCTTGTAATCTTGGTTAATAATTAGGAACACACCAATATAAAAGAAAACAGTGGAGGTAGGAATCGTTTTAAGCATCCGCACCACTATAAAAACCTTTGCTATCTCATTTTATTTTACGTCTTTGCATGCTATTGTAAGAACAGTACCCCATTCAATTCCCATAATCATTCACATGTAATTTCTAAAATTTTCTTAGTACTTTGTACGTACAAAGTTATTAGTGTATTAACACTGTTTGTTTTTAACCCACCCGAACTGAGGTTAAGCATACTTATTATTAAAAATAATTAAGAGGATGAGTTATTGAATAAAACCTAAAAGAGTGGACAAGAGAATGTATTGAATGACCCAATCACATTCCCAACTATCACCACTTAATGACTTTAGATTCTGTCACGTATATGTCTGCATCAATACATTAACGTAATTATATATATATTAATGGCAATTTCTCATTAATAATAATAAATGATCTATTAATTCGACATAAAATCAAAATCCATACATCTAATTTTATGGAATTGATTATATTATATATATGGTAAACAGTGTATGATATATCATAACTAATACCACCCACCCCTGATTTATATGTTTGTCAAGTGTTGATCACCCTAACTTCTCCCGGCTAAAGTTGACAGAAGATAGTAGAGGAATTATCACACATACTTGTGTGTGCGTAGGCGATATGATGAGCATGATTGTAATTTGAATGATAGATCTGTTAAAGATTAAAACAATTCACCCACCAGGTTTGAGTTAATTAACAAATACACCCTGAGAATTCCAACAATACCCTAATTATACTTTTAAGTTTTATTTGAATTTACATATAATGTGTTTTTATAAATTTGCATGTGCTTGAAATGAGATTTTGAAGATGATAATGGATTTTATGTAGGAATGCGTAAATTATATTTATCATTTTCCAAATCTCTTCTCTAAACACACAAATCAAATAGCATATGAAAATTTAATAAAAACATATTATACATCAAGTTCAAATAAATTTTTTAATATTTTTAGTTTTTTAGATTAAAAATTGGATGGATTTGTCACTTTCTAAATCCTTTAGGTATTTTAAACTTAACTCAAACATGGGTGATGTGTGTTCTAATCTCAATTTTGTTAGGAACTGATACTCAGAGTGTATGATTGTTAATTTAATAAAAGGACATGATATTTTAACTTAAAATTTTGACTTAAATTGAGAAACAAATTTTCAGTCATTGATATTTATAATCAATGGATATGAAAAAAAAAAAAAAAGGTTTGAAATAGTTATAATTACCTTCTCAGCAAATCTATACCATTGGATTGTACTAAATCACGGCTAAAATTTTAGTAAAAATTGAAGTTAAAAGACCCCCATTCCATAAAGTAAAATGCAACTTCAACGATTAACTCTCTCTCGTTAATTTAAAGAAAAAAAGACATTATAATTTACTATGTTGCATTACACACAAAAAAAAAAAAAAAAAAAAAAAAGCCTTATTTACTATATCTATATAATTATTTAAAAAAATTCCTACAGCAACATCACAATTAAATACAGTTTTACTAAGGATTACATTTGATCATCATAAGAGAGATAAATCCATATCGAGGATTTCCGTATCTATCAGATTAGATTGAACAATTTTCATTGGAAGGAATTATTGATTTCGATGTAAATATTTAATATAAAGTAAAAAGTAAGCGGGGAAGATAATGAAAGAAAGGAGAAATGGGGTACGAGGGATTCTAAAATGTATTATTCGTCGTCCTAGTCCTAATACCAGAAAGGGAATTTTCCGCATCCCTTTTGGTATCCTAATCGAAAAATAATGGTTTTTTTATTCCATTCATCAAATTTTCCTTTCTTATATTTTAGTTTAGATTTTTTTCCAGGCTTATCTAACTTTTTTTTTTTTGTATTCTTATATTTAATCAAAAGAAATCTATATATGAGAATTGTGATTTTGTGATCCAAGAAAAAGAAATTGAGTGATTACTTACTTTTTCTAATCGATAGATACTATCGGAACAAATGTTCTAAATCAATTAAGCAAGTCATTACAGAAAAATCATCAGAAACTAAAATGAAATGGAATTTTTTGAAGCATCAGAAGAGTGATCTATATTGTCATTTATACTTATACGAACAAAACATAATATTATGATTATTAAGAACTCGACGGAGCCTATCACTTATTTTTTGTATGATTCGAGGCCAAGTGTTACTCATTTTACATTTAATAACTCATAATCAGATCTGGTAACTAAATATTTCAAACTTGACAATTTAAACAAACTTTTCAAGTATTTATATTATTTAATGGTAAGGTTTTAAACCAACACGAGGTGAAGCCCGGCAAAGTGGCCGGGTCTCAGGTTGATTGATTAAACTGGTTTGACCAGTGGGTCAAATCGGTGATGTTAACGTGTCAAGAAGTTTTGAAATCTAGCAAACACAGCCTAAAAATTATTAGAAGTCTATATAGGTTTGAAATCTAACAAACAAACCCAAATGCAAGCGGCAATGACTAATTGGCCGCGACGATATATCAAATGCAAATCCCACTCATCATTTGAGTCATTCCCTAGCAAATAAGCCCAAGATCGGGCCGAAATAGAAACATTTTGTGGCAAAAAAACACCACCTGTCGACAACACTCCCCAACCATCAAAACACCCCCCCTCAGCCTTCTGACCAAAGCCAATCTCACCTCCTTGTTCTCCCGCCAATTGTCGACAACAACTGCTATTTTGGTTGTGTGACTTTTGCCTTTTTCAGTCGTTTACTCACCAGAAATCACCTCCGTTGCCACTTTCAACTTGCCGACACTTCCTCTCCAAAACCCCCAACATCCCTGCCATCGTCTGCTTGTCGATCACTGCTCTCTTTTCTAGGGTTTGAGATTGAAATGGATGGACAGTGGAAACGATGAACAATCAAATGGGACCCGCCCGACGAAGGCCTCAGCCCTCGGGTCATAGTTAGACGGTTAAACTAGTCAGACTGGGAAGTTTTAAGATAGAATTAAAATCTAAAATTAAGAAATTATAAAGGGGTCCAATTATACCAATTTAATGGGTGTTTTTATTTTTTAAAGAAAACGACAGCATGTACAGATAATTTGAAGGCCCATGCAGATGCAGTTAGGTGTGTATCTTGCTTCCAAGTACCTTTTTTACCTTTGGTTTGGTTTTACTTTATAGATACCAAAAATGCAAATTTGTATCTTACAACCTTTGTTTTTTCCCCCCTTTAATTCTTATCGACAATGTGGCGTTGGTTAGCTCCATTTATTTAAAACATCAAATTGTGCATAAATAATAATATGCATTTCAATTAAACTTTGTTTAGTAGAATACCTAAAGTGCTTTTTAAATATTAAAGATACTAAAAAATAAAAAAATAATAGTTTTAAATATATGTTAAAAACAAGAGTAAGCTTCGATTCATGGCTTAGAACTTGGACTTGTATCAGCGTTTCTGACCACCTCAAAATCTCTTGCTATCCTACCAATATGGCAATATCCAAGCCCATTGAATTAACAAGTTTAAACTCGTGTAAAGTAGTATGCTAATTACACATTTGTTGACCTGTACTTGAATGTTGGGAATGGGAGGAGAGGTAAGTAATCATTTAAACTTTTTGAAATTTCAGGGGAGTTCGTTAAATAGCCCTTTGGAATCCCAATCCCATCAAACAAAGGTGTGGCTAAGATTAAAAGAAAGTTGGACACAAAAAAAAAGTCAGTGCTTGTGTTGGGAAGGAGCCAGGAGGTCTAATCTGTATTAACCATGAAGCCAGGGATTGCTGCTTGGTTTCTCTTCATCATATTGATGTATGGTGATGATGACCCCATATCACACATCTCATATGAATGGATGGGTTAGTTTCACTATCCTTTTCTACAAATGGAACAGGAGCTTTCAGATATGACGTGGGTGAGTGAACATACAAGTAGAAATAGAACATGACAGTAGCAACCCTAGTGTTCCTCCTGATAGAGG